CTATCTCTCTCTCTCTCTCTCTCTCTCTCTCTCTCTCTCTCTCTCTCTCTCTCTCTCTCTCTCTCTCTCTCTCTCTCTCTCTCTCTCTTTCTCTTCCTCTCTTCCCATCCAGTGTTGGACAGCCTTTTCTCAGATGAGGATGGGATGCCACTCCCTTTGCTCTCGGCGTTTGGTGCTGCAGTCCTTGTGCTTGCTGGACGGGGAGGGGGTGGCTGCTAGAAGCGTCGTTTTAGTGAAGTGAGGACAGCTTGTCTAATCCCACAGTCCCTCCACACCCAGGTGTGGAAGGGAAGGGTCAGATATGTCTGCATGATCATGTCCTCAGCCAGACCAATGTGGATGGGCGGTGTAATATTCGGTACCGCAGGTGAACTAGGACTGCGCTTTGGAGCGTGCAATCTGCAGAATCAATGTCAATCAGCCAACCTTCTTCTTGGGGAGGAGTGCCTGCCCTGTCTGTTGGAGTCCACTTGGCCCATAACCGTGTGTTCAAACTGTTTCTGTCATTACTTTCTGTCCATGGCACTTCGCTTTCTCAAGTTCTCTTCTTTTTTGGATTTTATAGAATTTCAATTTTCAACCTTCCCTTAGGTAAAGAAAAAGACAAAAAAAAAAGGCCTCTTCCAAGAGGCCATTTTGGCATTTTGTCTTTTTTTTTTTCCCCCAAGCCCTGTATATGGTTGGTTCAGGTGTGCGAAATCAGTCTCCTCCGGTGTCGAAAAATGGCCGGGAAATGTACTGGTGGTGTGTGCTCAGGCCCTTGGGGCCTAGCTCCACTACTCACCAAATGTGCAAAATGAGAATGTATCTTCCTCTGGAATGGAAAGATACACCGCTATATTTCTTGTCTTTTTTGTGCATGTGGTGAGTAGTGGAGTGAGGCCCTCGGTTTCACCGTTGTTGTTGTTGTGGTTGTTGTTGTTGGTGCATCTGACACCGCTTCCTGTTGCTCTGGTGTGGCATGTGCAGCGGGAGTCATAGGGCCTCGCTCCACTATTCTCGAAATGTGCAAAACGAGAGTGAATCTTCCGCTGGAACAGTGGAAAGATACATAGCTATGATTCTTGTCGTTTGTGCATGTGGAGAGTAGCGGAGCGATGCCCTTATTTTTATAAGGCTTTACGGAGCAGTGCCATGAGTGCTGCACGCTTTGTATATCGCACGTCTCTTTTCCAGCTGTTCGTGGTTTGCTTCATCTGTTTTCTGTTTTGCTCTCCTCTCTGCTTCATCTGTTTTGTGTCTTGCTCTCTTCTCTGCTTGCTGCTGTTCTCCTATGCTTCATTTTCTTTGTCTGTTCGTCCGATTGCATTTGGATTCGAACATGGGTCTGCATTTCAACAGTGCATGAACGTACCAACTGACCTAGGCCCGTTGGTGCCCCTACGCGTCATACCTTTTGTGACAGCGGAGCCGTGCATCTGATTGCATCTGTATTCAAACATGGGTCTGCTATGTGTGGGCATGTTTCTTGTTGTTGTTGCTGGTCTAGTGGTGCCCCTGCTTTCTCCGTCCTGCATTGCCGTGTGCGCTGCAATTTATTCTCTTTTTTAATCCGTCTCTTCTTTCTACCCCCCCCCCCCCCCCCCCCCCCCCCCCCCCCCTCCCCCCTCCCCGCTTTTTTATTTGTGTAAATGTGCAGATGTCCTTTCCGGGTGTGCAAGTCTTGTTGCGTTAACGCGCGGAACAACTGTACAGTGCACGGTGGGTCACTCTTGCCTTGCCTTTACTTGCTTACCACACACCCAGCACTAGGAGTACTTCCGCCTGTTCAGAAACCCTTTGTTGTTGCCCTTTTTTTTTTTTTTTTTTTTTTTTTTTCGAGTGTTCAAGAGACCAATCATGTTGTCGAACAGCCCCCCCCAAAAAAGAGAAGATAAAATTCATGTAGTCAAACTTGTTTGTGTCAGTCGCTGCTGTGCTGTCGTGTATTATATGTTTGCACCTTTGCCCAGGGGCCATGCAAATCATCTCTCTCTGTATACCGTTCCAATTTTAACGGCTGTCGTTAATGACTTCCGCTGTAGTGTATTGTTTCTGACTCAATGAGGAAGCTGTATTCACGGCTACCGGGTAGGCTATAGTACTTGTGTTGTTTAGACTTGTCTGTTTGTCTTTGTGAGGTGCAGCTGCTGAGCTCTGCCCGCCCTTGCGGATGTATATCAGGGGATTGAAAATAGAAAACAGAGGAAGAGGAAGTGTGTTAAGTTCTGTTGACTGTCGCTGGAGCTTTCCGGAGTGTAATAATTCAATTGTGTGCTATATTTTTTTTTTTCACCTCTTGTGGCTTTTTGGCCACAAGAAACAAAACGGGAAAAAAAAAAAAACAAAGAAAGCAGGACATGTGCAATGCAGACAAGATCAAGAGGAGAAAGAAAGAAACGCAAATGCCCATGAAAAAGGAAGAAAACCCATAACTAAAGAAAAAAACGTACTCGTCAAGAAAGTACCTTACTGACTACGGGCTGTGTTCGTTCCTACCTTCCCCCTCTCCCTCCCCTTTGTGCCATGCGAAACAAGGCTGTTGTCCTCACGATCTCTCTCACATTTCCCCTCCCTCCCCTTCCCCCTTCGGCCTCTCTCCCCATCCCCCTTTCCTGTCTCTTATACACATCTAGATGTGTATAAGAGACAGCTGTCTCTCTCTCTCCCCCCCCCCTCAAAACACGCACACACATGGTCTCTTGAGTCCTGACGACCTCGTCGGTTGCTCTCCGTAACTGTGTCATCTCTCTATGCCATCTGTCTCCCAATCCCCCACCTCCTCCGACAATTGTGTTCTTCCCGTTGCCCTTTCCATCCATCCTTCACCATTGCTCTCCACATTCCTCCTGCCATTCTTCTTTCCATCCATCCTTCACCATCTCTCTACTCATGCCTGAAAATGAAAAGACAACTAGAAAAAGAGGTGTTCCCCCTCCACGGCACTCTGTTCCTCCTCCCTAAGCAAAAGAGGTGCATCCCGACAAGCCACTTTTCTTTCCCCTTCTGAGTCACCAACGAGAACCAGCATTCATCATTTGAACAAGTGACAAAGCAGTGTTCATCCTCCTAGTTCTCTCCCTCCACTTATCCCCCCTTGCTCCAAGTGCTGCCACATGCTTCCCTCTGGCCCCACTCCTCTACGCTCAACATGTTTACCACCGAAAGACAGATGCACAAAAAAGGACAACAGAATTTGTCAGCTCTGTCTGTCTCTCACTCACTCTCTCTCTCTCTCTCTCTCCCTCTCTCTCTCTCTTTCACTCTCTCTCCCTCTCTCTCTCCCTCACTCTCACTCCCTCTCCCTCTCTCTCTCTCTCACAGACACACACACACACCTCCATCGGTCATTCAGATCTTGCGACCGAAAGGTTGTCTATGTGTGTGGGTGTGTGTGCGTGCATGTGTGTGCCCACTGCACAGGTGCGTGCGGGTAGGCAGGAATTTCCCGAGCGCTTTGGACCGCCAATTGGACGGCCTTGTGAAATGGGGCATGCCAATTTCCCGAGCGCTTTGGACATGCCAATTTCCCGAGCGCTTTGGACCGCCAATTGGCCAATGTGCAGGTGCCAAAAAGGCCCATTGGCCTTTTTTTTTTTCGGGTGGTGTGTGTGGGAGAGGTTTTCCTAGCTGCCCCTTTTTCTCGGCGCTGCCCGCTGCAGATTGCCACTCTTTCATGTGGCATGTGCACCCGTCGGATCAAGAAAGTGGGGTGCTGGTGGGCCATGCAAAGAATGAGCACAGCCATGGTGTGTGCACTGCAGGGCTCCTTTCTGTTGAGCTTAGTGCGTGGACGGTGATGACTGGATCTCATGGCGATGGATTTCGGAGATGACACGCATCTGATCCCAGTCATCCTGTACCACAGGACGGATGGACATGGCTGGGAGTTGATCGGTTGCCGGAACCATCGTCATGGCGTCATGGCCACCACGCGCCGTAACAGTGGAGGGCTCAGATAATAAGTTGATACCCACTTTGCAGCAGAATAGGATTACTGTGGTGATGTGTGGTTGAGATAGAGACCGTCCACATGCGGTCGTCCGTACAATCCTTCTCTCACGCCCACTTCCATGAGTCATACAGAGAATAGACCAAAGACAGCAAACTGTGACATTTATCGTAGCATTCGTTCCAAATGGCAGTTTGCGTAGCTGTGGGTTGTGTAGTGGCATACAAGTCTACAACGTTATTTCAGTGTACGGTAGTGATCTTCCCCCCTGCTTGTGAACTTGTCTTGGATGTGGTATTGTGCCCAATTGCGATAGTCTCACGACGCGCAGTCCTTTTCCTCCTCCCTCCTTGCTTCGATTGCCTCGTTTATCTACGTTGTGCCAGTTTTCCTTTGCTGGCAATACTTCGGCGTCGGAGACTTTGTGGCCTTCTACTCCAGCTCTGTTGCATGGGTTCATCCCTACACGAGGGGCAATGTAGAAGTGGAAGCGACCGGTGCACTGACTTCATCTGAGCTCAAGTGGAGTATCCTTTCCGCCACTACATTCCAGTTCCCTGTGATTTCCAAGAGCTCATGTGGCGAACTTCAGTAGATTGGCTGCTGTTCCTGTCTCCATTCTCAATTCCTAGCATCAAAAGGCGAATGACGAGAAGTCAGTCCGGATGTTCTTCTCTCTCTCCGTCTTTGTGGATGCAATCCTCAAGAGAGAGAGAGAGAGAGAGAGAGAGAGAGAGAGAGAGAGACAGAGAGAGAGAGAGAGAGACAGACAGACAGACAGACAGAAGGCGCCCTCACGTTGTAATGACGAGAAGTCAGTCCGGATGTTCCTTTCTCTGTCTGTCTGTCTGTCAGTCTCCCTCTCTCTCTCTCTCTCTCTCTCTCTCTCTCTCTCTCTCTCTCTCTCT